TTTTCCAAATACAACAAGTATGAAGGGAAAATTTTACATTTGGGGTTCTTTATAATGATTCTAGAAGGCAAAATATTTAACACATAGTTAGCAATAATTATTATTTTAATATTTTTACATTGTATTCTCATATTTCATCTCAAATTTCTTTGACCCATTTGAATATTTACAGAAATTCGTACAGACTGTGTCATCTAAGTGTTGTTATTTGCTGATTCTAAGTCTTGACTGAACTCTCAGCTATATATTTTTCTGGGTAAGTGAAAGTTTCTTCTTGAAAGACCCTTTGGTATTGTTATTGTGATTGCATGTTTGGTATTTCATTCTTTTTCTGTTCTTATATGGTTATGTGTATTTTCAGATTATTTTTTTTGATAATTTTTATCTGGGTTTTGTTCGAACCTTCAATCTGAGATTTTTTATTTTTCTATGTTTCTCTTTTTTGGGTCGTCCCTCTTTGTATTTGTATACAACAATATTGATTGAAATATTATGAAATTATAGATTTCAGAATAAATTATGAATACTGTATTGAGCTACTTGTCGAATGTGCAATTTTGGGTTTGGAAAATTTAGGTCTAACCAAAAAATAAAAGCTCTTATCTTTTTTAGACTATGTGTCAGTTTCAACATCAAAATACTTTCTTAAAATTAGTGAATAACTCCTTTTGCCATATGATTTGATATTTAAACAGAAGGTAGAGTTAAAACATTGGAAGAAGATTAGTGGCAATATATGCTCTTGAGAAAATTAGATACTTTGCTGAATAATGGAACATGGTAAGAAATGAGTTGCTGTAATGTGTACCCAAGTCGTAATAGCTACTGTTATTCAAGCTTTTATCATAAGCAATCATTCTTAATCCTCTCGTAAGGAAGTACAATGTAATTCAGACTAATAACTGAAATTTGTTCATCTTTGCTCTTAATTTGTTCATTTTTGTTCATCTTTCTCTGGTAATTTTTTCATATTTGTTCATATTTAATTAATTCAATTATTTGTTTTTTTAAAATAAACAGAATGGATAAAAGTTGGTTAAATATTAGGAATAGAGTCGGCCAAAGGTATAGAGATGAAGTAGACAACTTTCTTAATTGGGCATTCAGTCAACCAACAGTGAACACTATGATTCGGTGTCCTTGTAAAAAGTGTATGAACACCGTGTTCAAGCTAAAAATTGGTGTAATAGGAGACTTATTGAGAAAGGGTTTCTGGGATTCTTATAAAGTGTGGGACTTGCACGAGAAAGTGTTAGTTAGAGTTGAAACTTCTAATGTCATAGTTAGTGATAGCATTAAAGATGATAATATTGCCGAAATGATTCACGATGCTTATGGATATACGAATGTAGAGGATAATAACAATAATTTAGAGGACAATAAAGAGCCAAATGTACATGCAACAAATTTCTAATAATTGTTAGAAGATGCTGAGACAGAACTTTATCCTGGTTGTAAAAAAGTCTCGAAGTTGTCTTTTGTTGTTAAGCTACTTCACTTGAAGTGCCTTAACCATTGGAGTAACAAATCGATGGATGCACTGTTAAGCTTATTTAAAGAAGTTCTTCCCGAGGGGTCATTTGTGCCAAATTCTTTCTATGAAGCAAAGAAAGTTCTTTGTGACCTAGGTTTGGGGTACACCAAAATAGATGCATGTCGGAATGATTGTATTTTATACTGGCGTGATTATGCCAATGTCCAATCATGTCCTAAGTGTGGTAAGTCTAGATGGAAGTTCGAAGAACATAGAGGCAAGAAAGTAGCTTATAAAATCTTGCAACATTTTTCAATCAAACCAAGGCTAAAAATTGTACATGGCAAGAGAGACAACTAAAAAGATGAGGTGGCATAAGGAGTAAAATATCGATGATGGTGTCTTTCGACATCCGTCTGACTCAATGGCATGAAAATCCTTCGATGCGCGGCATCCCACCTTTTCAGCTGAGTTAAGAAATATTCGGTTAAGTTTAGCAAGTGACGGGTTCCAACCTTATGGGAGCATGAGTTCTAATCATAGTATTTGGCCAGTCGTACTAGCTACGTATAATTTGCCACTATAGGATTGCTTAAAAAATCCGTATTTCATGATGACACTTCTTATTCCAGGTCCTAAGTGTCCAGGAAATGATATAGATGCATACTTACAACCAATGATTGAGGAGTTGAAGGAATTATAGGACGGGGTGGAGACTTATGATGCGCACTCAAAATCCAATTTTTTGATGCGTGTGGCTATCATGTGGACGATTAATGACTTCCTTGCATATGTGAAGGATGGTCAACCAAAGACAAGCTTGTGTGCCCTTGTTTCCATAAAGATACACAATCGACTTCCTTACGTAGTAAGTTGTGTTATAGGGGTCATCGTCGCTTCCTTCCCATGGACCATTCATGGCGCAAACGTAGGGCATTATTTGATCGGAAAGTTAAAATGGGAGTTACACCTAACCCTTTAACAGGTGATGAAGCACTTATGCAATTACAAGCTTTGGATAATGTGACATTTGGTAAAGGGAAAAAGAGAAAGCGTGATGTTCCTGGAAATGCTTATAATTAGAAAAAGAAAAGTATCTTTTTCCAATTGCCTTATTGGAAGAGTCTTCTGTTACGACATAACCTTGATGTGATACACATAGAAAGAAATGTGTCTGATAATATTATATCAACTGTTATGAATATGGTTGGAAAGACAAAGGACACATTAAAAAGTAGATATGATTTGATGGACCTTGGAATCAGACAACGGTTGCATCCAGTTGAGGATGTGAATAATATTTTATTATCGACAGCATGTTATGCATTGTCCCTAGAAGAGAAGTTGAAGGTATACAATTTCTTAGCTGATCTGAAGGTTCCTGATGCTTTTTCCTCAAACATTTCAAGGTGTGTCAATGTACAGGAGAAAAGGTTACATGGATTGAAATGTCACGATCATCATGTATTGTTGCAAGATATTTTTCCGGTAGCTATACGTGGTTTGCTACCCAAGGAAGTGTGTGATCCAATTATAGCCTTGGAAATTTTTTTAAAGAATATATACTCTAAGTGCTTGACGATTGAAGATCTTGATATTCTAGAGGCAGAAATTCCTATCATTTTGTGCAAACTACAACTTGTCTTTCCTCCCGCGTTCTTTGATGTCATGATTCATTTGCCAACTCACTTGACAAGTGAGGCAAAACTTGGTAGACCAGCTCAATACTGAAATACGTACCCTATATAGAGGTAATTCATTGTTCAATAGTTTCGATGCCATAATTTTAGAATGACACATTATATTAATGAGTCATTTTATATAGGTATCTGCGAACACTTAAGCCATATGTTCACAACAAAAATCGTCCAGAAGGTTCAATTGCAGAAGGTTATTTGGCAGAGGAAAGCTTCATATATTTCTCACGATACTTAAAGAATATCTCAACCAAGTTCAATAAATCAGTTAGGAATGACGATGAATCTGTGGCAAATGATGAGATGTCTATCTTTAAAAAAAGTGGACAAACAAAAGGTGCTTCAGAAGGCATCACACTATCTCATGATGAGTTCAAACAAGTATGTGTATATGTGCTTTAAAATTGTGAAGAGGTTTCACAATTCATGGAGTAAGTCTCTTTTTAATTCCAAGATAGTTTCACATGAAAAAATCCGATTAGTCTTAACTAACTTACAATGTAGGGAATATACGAGAGAGATTGAAAGTCAAAGTTCAACGAGAGCTCCCACCTATGAGTTTCTTGATTGGTTTCGTGCATGTGTAAGTGTCTACTTAAATGACAATATTAATATTAGTTTAATCATCCCATCATGTTCGCAAGTCACAACATTGTTATTCGTCTTTGTAGATATTTGTACTATCTGCACAAGGACGCGCAAATGATAAGCTCATAAGCTTAGCCGTCAGTCCTATATCCTTGGTACATGGATATTCAACATTTGTGGTAAATGGATTTAGATTCCATACAAAAGAGCTTGCGTTGAGAAGAAAAACGTAGAACAACAGAGTTCTTGTGAGAGGAGATGATTCAGACTCTAATAAGGAGTATTATGGCGTATTAGAGGACATTTATGAGTTATTTTATGTGGGAAATAGAAAAGTTTACCTATTCAAATGTCATTGATGGGATGTGGCTCGCTTAGGAAGAGGATATAAGATTGACAAATATGGCTTTACATGTGTCAATACTCGTTGTTCCTTGAATACAAATGAGCCATTTGTGTTGGCATCTCGGTCTGAACAAGTCTTCTACTTGGATGACATGGTCGATAAAGATTGGCTTGTTGTTGTAAAGACAAATCCTCGCGACCTTTTCAAAATGCCTGATAAAGATGATAATTATGTAGAAGTTGAAGAGGAAGCATCACCGAATGAAGAAGTTTATCAACAAGAGGAAGCTGGATTTAATACTTTGTGCACCAATGACCAAGAAAATATTTTTGAGGTATCTTTACATAGGGATAATATTGAACCACAAAGTATTAACTACGATTATGCAACTATGCAAGGTCAAAACAATATGCATAATGAGAAAGATGATTTCATTAATGACAATCATATAGATGTATCCGAGAGTGAAGATAGTGAAGAAAAGCTATTTGATGATGACGATGATGGGGAGGACACTGATACATCCTCTTGAAGACGAAGAAGCAAAAGACTAATGATATAGATGTTTACATATTGTTTTGAAAATTCTATGTAATTTTGTCCTTATTAGACTAGCAATGAAATTAGTTTGTTATACTTGTAGCTTTATGGCTACATATATATTATTTTGAAAAACATTCTGTATTGTTGTACTTATTAGACTAACAATGGAATTATTTTGGGATGTCTGAAGCTTTAATTTTATAATAGAATCAGTGGTGAACTAAAATCAATGCTTTACTCCAATATTTTCATCAATTTATTGATTCAATTCTCTGCTATATCAATTAATTTTTTCTCTAGTCTGATCAGTTCCTTCCTTTTTATTTGATGTTGCAGGAAATGAAAGGAATTGGACGAGGTAAAAGTGGGAGAGGCGGGACAGGCTATAGTCATGGCAATATTCAAGGACGTGGCAATTCTGTAGCGGCGTCTCAGCCACACATACATCCAATAGGGACTACAAAGGCATCTCTAGAGACGGGACAATCATGTAACCCGAGTCAAGGACCTGATTGTGCATAAATACTAAAATTAGTGGTGATGGTATATGTTTTTTTACTTTGCAGTTTCTTGCAACAATAAAAAGAGAGGAAGAGGAAAATACAAATCTAAAAGTATAGATGTAAAAACTAAGTGTGGTGGCAAAATTAAAATTATGATTCCAGATGACATTGATAGAGCAGTAGGTTCTGGGGCTAGAGATATTGTTAATTACTGTGGTTTGATCATGAGGAGCACTATATCGTTCTGAGATGGGAATTGGCAAAAGATTATTTTGAAACATGGAGAAGAAATGTGGTTGAAGATCAAGGTAATAAATTAATTTCACAATTGTATTGAATTTAGATTGCAAGATCTATTTATGTGGTTAGTATATCTAATATAATATTACATTTGTATTCAGGATAAATTTGAAGTTTCCAACGGGCTGCGAGAGCATAGATTTCAAGCCTTTGTGATCAGCACTATGCAAAGGCCTTTTAGAGTATGGAAAGCTCGACTCAGCATTCAGTAATCTAATTACAGTACTAATGAAGAAAGATTATCTCATCGACCTAAAGATGTTGAGCTCGAGGACTGAAAATACCTAATACAATATTTTGGAAGTCTGGAGTTTAAGGTAACTCAATACCTCAAGAGTTCTGCCAACCAAAGAGCATCATACCCATATTTGAATGATGGTTTATTAATATGTTTATTGACTTAGTGCAGGCTATAAGTGAGAGGAACAAAAAAAATAGGGAAAAGCAAATCACTAGGCATGCTTGTGGTACAAGATCTTTTGCAGAAGTAGAGGAATCTATGGTGAAAATACATATTTTTTTCAATGATCACATATGCTTATTTGTTATTTATATATTTTCTTATATATGTTTTCTCTGAAACTATATTATAGAGAAATCCCATTTCTGGAGAAATAGATACACCAGATAAAGTTTGGGATATCAAACATACACGTAAAGATGCAACAGGAGAACGTGTGTGGTTGGATCCATAATCACAACAAATTCATGTAATTCTCTAAAATAATAGACTTATTATCTTTTTGTATTCTATAAGTTACTTTTAATATGTTGTATTATGTTAGGTGTAAATGATTGTGCATAATTGCAAGGTCAACTCCAAGAACTTATCACTCAGTAACAATCTGAAGAGATCGAGCATCCCATGACTAGAGATGAAATTTTATCCTCCGTACTTGGTGAGGGAACAAGCTATGTTCGTGAAAAAGGGCATGGAAAGAAGCCTTCCAAAAAGAGTTACATGCAGTAGGAAAACATAGAGGCCAACATCTCTTCTGCTATGGAAATTATGCGTCAAGAGATGCAAGCCGATATGGATCGGAAGTTGCAAGAAGAACGTGAATAAATAGCTGCTGAATTGCGAAGGAATATGGAAGATGAGTTGCAAAGTAAGTTGGAAGAGGAGCGTGAACACGCGAATGTAGAAGTAGGCAAGATGATTAGTCTAGAAGTGGACAAGAGGATGCAAGAACAATTTGATGTTTTCATGACCACAATGCAAAAGGTACTTGCTCTGCTCCTTCTGAACAATTTTTCCTTCCTTCTGGACAATTCTTCCTTCCTTCTTGATAATTCTTCTAAGACTTTTTTTCTTCTTCTTCTTCTTCTTCTTCTTCTTCTTCTTCTTCTTCTTCTTCTTCTTCTTCTTCTTCTTCTTCTTTAACTTTCGTCTTTTTGACAAGACTGTTGGGCTGTTGTATGCTTATGTAAAATCTGAATTTTTTGATGAGGCATATGAGAGAAAGAATTATCTTTTGCTTTGTTCCTACTGAATTCTTTGCTGGGAAATCTAAAAGAGAAAAAGAAGATCTAATGGCTCCATTTATTCAAGTGCAACAAAGATGGATAATATGATTACTTAAAGTCAAAATTGCATGAAGTATGATTATTTCAAGTATTCTTAAATCTTTACTCAGTTGTGTCCTATATTCATTATATCAGTCACAAAGAATACTTTTTTTAAAGTATATGTATCATCTGTAATTTAGCACTACCTTAGTGTTACATTACCTTTCTCTAAGAACTGTACATCTCGTGTCACTTTTAGCACTACCTTAGTGTTACATTGTTGAACTTTAACTTTTTTTAAAATGCTTATATGTTTTCTTCCTCTTTTAGATACTTTTGAATAGGAAGACGTTAAGATCACAAGCCCTTTTAGACACTTTTATTTTCTTACGGCTCATGGGAATTGTATGAACTGTCATTTGGATTCTATTCTCTTGGGTTCTCTTTTTCTTTTTTCCCCTTTCAGATTTCTCGGAAAGTTTAGTCAAATTTGAAAGTCCACGAGGAGTCTTTCCTAAAATTTGCTGTAGCTTCTTTAGTTAAAATTAGTATTATTTTTTTATTCTCAGTTGCCTTTTATTTCTATTTGATCTGTTCTGTAAGAATTGTTCCCCTCAAGTTTCAAGCATATATGAGCCTAATCCTGATAGGATGTGTATTGGAATGGTAGAACTAGTCAAAATAGTAGTACACTTGCCTATTTGGATAAAATGGGAAGATTTTCTCAAGTCACCCGCTATAGTTCACCTTACTGACATGGTTAATTATTTCCTATAAATCCTTATTTTAAACTGCTATCTCATACAGAAAGTGCTCCTACATTAAGTCCTTGAATTGGTTGATCAAGTTCCAAATGCAATCCAGTTTGCTTCAACCGTAGTTAATTAGTGAAGATTTTTAATGCAATTGGATGTTAGCTTAATCTTCTGGAACCACCTAGTGTTTCGGTTTCTTCTTGTGGCTATAATTGTATATGAATAACCTCCAGTGAAATGAATGTTTTTGGAGCGTATATGTCAGCATATTTAGTCACAGTTTTTCTGTAATGACCCGACCTGTTTTTTTGAGAGTAATAGCCCCGATCCCTTATTAACTGCTTCACCCGTATATTTTTCTGCTTATGTGACTTGCCGGAAGGTTTTGTTGTTGGTTTTGGAGTATTATTGGGACACTTAGTCCCTAAACGGAAGCTTAAGTCTTAGGATTTTTGACCGTAGTCGGAACTGTATGAAGACGACTCTAGAATAGAGTTTTGTCAGCTCCGTTGGGTGATTTTGGGCTTAGGGGCATGTCCGGATTTTATTTTGGAGGTTTGTAGCTCATTTAGGGTTGAAATGGCGACAGTTAAATTTTTGAAGATTTTGACCGGTAGTGGACTATTTGACATCGGGGTCAGATTCTGATTCCGAAAGTTGGAGTAGGTCCGTAGGGTTGAATATGACTTGTGTGCAAAATATGGGGTCAATTGAACGTGGTTTGATAGGTTTCGGCATCGGTTGTAGAAATTGGAAGTTTCAAGTTCATTAAGTTTGAATCGGAGGGTGATTCATATTTTTAGCATTGTTTGTTGTAATTTGAGGGCTCGACCAAGTTCGTATGGTATTTTAGGACTTGTTGGTATCTTTGGTTGAGGTCCCGGGGGCCTCGGGTGTATTTCAGATGCTTAATGGATCGAAAATCTTACTTGTGTTTTTGTTGAAGTTTCTGGTGTTTTTGCACCTGCAGTGGGGAGACCGCAGGTACGGACTCGCACGTGTGGAAGATGGAGTGCAGAAGCGGACGGGGCCTGGAGCGTGAGGTTTTGTAGAAGCGGAAGATATCTGTAGGAGCGGGCGCGCAGGTGCGGCCCCCTTGCTCGCTGATGCGGACCCAACCTCTTAAGTCATTTCCACACCTGCGAGGGATTTTCTGTAGGTGCGGCATCGCAAGTGCGACTAGTGATCCGCAGATGCGGAATCGCTGGGCAGAAAAGATCAATTTCGAGGGTTTGATCTCATTTTCATTTTGGATCTTTGAGAGCTCGAATTGATGAGATAATTTGGGAGATTTTCAGAGGAAGCTTTTGGATAACGATTCTTAACCCATTTATGGTTATATTCCATTAACCTATCACTAAATTCATCTTTTAATTTCAGATTTGGGTGAAAATTTGGGAAAAATGGGAAAAAGTTATTCAACTAAGGTTTTGGGTTTTGATTGAGATTTTGATATCGGATTTGGATAATTTTGATACGAGTGAACTCGTGAGTGAATGTGTGTTCATATTTTGTGACTTTTACCCGATTCCGAGACATGAGTCCGGGGAGGCTTTTTAGGGCGATTTTCGAAATTCTTGTTAAAGCCTTGATTTTATTAATTAAATTAGTCTAATATAGTTGTATTTATGGTATGAAATTATTTTTGGCTAGATTTGGGCCATTCGAAGTCGGATAATCGAGGAAAGGGCATTCTTACTGATTGATTGAGCTTGGTTCGAGGTAAGTGGCTTGCCTAACCTTGTGTGGGGGAAATCTCCTTAGGATTTAGTACTGTTATGATATGTGAGCTTGGTGTACGTCAGGTGACGAGTACGTACACGGGCTATTTGTTGTAAAAACCCGATTTATTTTACTGAGTAGCAACCTGTTTTCCCTTTCATTTGAGTTATACTGTTTAAATGAGTATTAGTTTGTTTTCATTCTTAATTGAGCTATTCCAATATGTGTACTTATCATGTTTAGTCTAATATCACATGTCTACGTGCTTTAACTGCTTATTTGAACTCTGTGAAGCATCCCTAGTTGATTTTCTATTTTTCCTTGTTCTTTATCAGTATAACTGTGGAAATTTTGCTATTTGTTGTATTTATCGGTTTGAGATGTGTGTTTAATTTTGAGACTACGAGGCGGTACCTCGGGAGTTCTCCCTGTACATTTACTTTTGAGACTATGAGGCGGTACCTCGGGAGTTCTCCCTGTACATTTACTTTTGAGACTACGAGGTAGTTCCTCGGGAGTTTTTCCTGCACATTTACTTTTGAGACTATGAGGCGGTACCTCGGGAGTTCTCCCTATACATTTATTTTTGAGACTACGAGGCGGTACCTCGGGAGTTCTCCCTATACATTTATTTTTGAGACTACGAGGCGATTCCTTGGGAGTTCTCTCTGTATATTTACTTTTGAGACTACGAGGCGGTACATCAGGAGTTCTCCCTGTATATTTACTTTTGAGACCACGAGGCGGTACCTCAGGAGTTCTCCCTGTATATTTATTTTTGGACTACGAGACGGTATCTCGGGAGATCCCCTGCTGTTTACCCCTATGTGTTGTACTATTGCCTTGCGGTGCTTCCTTTTGTTAAATTCTAGTCTCTTATTATACTGTATATATTCTCCTGCCTTATTTATTATTTACCAGTGGGCCTGACTTGACATCGTCACTACTCGACTGAAGTTAGGCTTTGCACTTACTGGGAACCATTGTGGTGTACTCATGCTGCTCTTCTGTACGTGTTTTTGTGTGCAGATCCAGGTACTTCTTATCAGCCCAGCAATTAGCTGAGAGTACTTGCTGCTGCAAGGAGACTTCAGGGTACATCTTCCACTTCCGTAGACCTTGGAGTCCCCTTCTATTCTCCCCTATGTCAATTACCTTATGTACTTCTTTTGTTCGACTCTGGTGTAGAGAGACACTAGTTTCCTTCTGTAGCTTGTGACTTACGATGTTCTGAGTTTTGGGAAGACTGTGTAATTATAGAGTATTGATTATTGTACATGCTGTGCGGCATTTTTACTAGTTATTCAGTTATCCACTGCTGTTAGTTGCCAAGTTTTACTTTCATTTTGTTATTTTCCACAATTTGTTTGGCTTACCTAGTCGTAGAGACTAGGTACTGTCATGGCATTATACGGAGGGAGTTTGGGCCGTAACAAGTTGGTATCAGAGCTCTAGGTTCATAGGTGTCGTGAGTCACAAGACAATTTATTAGAGTCTCACGGATCGGT